TTATCGGGTCACGACTGTATTTCATCCCAAGTAGTTTCTGAATGTTTCCAAATGTAATGTTATTTAAATGTTGGGTTTTTTTATTCCCGGCTACAAAATACTCGATACTTAAAGTCCATTTGCTTTCAGTCGCATCGCCTCATCAGCTGAATTCAGTTGGAGCCGTAGCTGCTTCCATTACTCCGAGCGCTTTTACATCTTCTCATCAATTTCAGTTAAAAGTCGAGCTTAACAGTTTGCTGTTGACCCTGAAAGCAGTCGTTGATAAAACTGTCGCAAGTCAAGATGCAAATTCGCTCGAGGCGCCTTTTGTGAATCCGCCTGTGTTTTAATCATACAGTGACAAGAGGAAGGAGAGAGACTGAAGGGAAGTGATGAGATCTGGGGCTTCTGCTGAGTTATGGGTTCAGTCGGAGGCTGAGCTGAACACACAAAACTCACTCGTATCTGCTGCTCGCTGTCTAACAGCTGCTGTCGTTTGGCCAAATGAGTACAGAATGCCAAACAGGGTCGTGGTTGGATTCAGGCATTTGACATTAGAGCTGCATTAATTTAAGCTGTATATTTACAGTGGTTCAAATGACTACATGTGGTGACTGGAAAATAAGGCAACAAAAAAAAACTGTGTCACCGTGCAGTTCCTGTTGGTTCTGCAAAGCATCTTAGAGTCTCTCAGGTCACTGTTTTGTTTTTCTGATCCATAACTCCATTGGATACCATCGCTTACAGCAGGCAACAGTTTTCACCCAAAAAAATAATAATAAATGACTAAATCTCTGAAGTACATCAACGTGTCTTTAAGATGTTTCTCTGAGGAGTTGGGACCAAAACAGAACCACAGAGTGAAAACTGGATTTAGATTCATTAAGTTGACACAAGAACGGCTCCAGATGAACGCTAACGCCCGGCAACTCCTGGTCACAATAACAAATCTGTGATTAAATACTCGACAGTTTTTACGTTTTCTACCAACTGAAATGATGCAGTGTCCAAACGTACCGGTTCTGGTCCACGTAATCAGAGCTCTGGAATTACTGGAAACACTGGAGACAACACAGGTTTCCTTCATCATATAAGTTTTAAATCATTTTTTATGAGTATTTTTTACATAAAGCTTCCATCAGACATTCAGGTGAGTCTGTGGCTTCAGTGTGTTACGACAGGGAGAAGCAGTGTAATGTTCTAAACGCCCACCAGCGTGAAAACAACAAGAAGACACCATCTAAAAATACAGCCGGTGTTTACAGTCATAGATCCAGTGTGAGTACAGTGTGGTAGCTCGCCCGTGTTATTGTTTGATTCTGCTGATACCGTTGGACTGTGTGTCCCTTTGTGTCGGTACCAAAAACAAGCCCCGGCGTCCTTGGTGCTCGTTAGAGTGACTGATTGATTGACAGGCCTGCCCGGGTACAGCTTGACGCCGGCCACCTCACTGAAGTGCGGATTTGGTATTCCGACGCCGTTTCAATTATGCAATCGTGCAGGAACAATTAGCCGCGGCATTTAACCAAATACATAATCAGCACGTACTGTCACAAAGGCAATTACTTAAAGCAAGCAAGCTGCCACCCACACAGCCGTTAATACACGCTCACTGCATCCTGGGCGCCTTTATGTAACTCAGCCGAGCCCTCTGCAGTGATGCAACATGTTTTGGAGTCTTTGCAGTCGCCTCACTCTTTCCTCCTAAAACCAGTTTTGTTGCCTCCTCTCCCTTCCCTGATTCCTTCTCTTGGTTTTTACTTATTCCACCTCCAAAACCTGCCCTCCTCCTCCTCCGCCTGCATCTGCTTTATTTCCCTCGTTTCCTCACCCCTCTTCTGTCTCCTCTCCCAGAGTCGATGATCCTGTTGGGCTCCATCGAGCGCGCTCAGCTCCAGTCGCTGCTCTCACAGCAGCTCGGTCGGCCCAAACGGCTGGAGTACATCAGGGAGCGAGCCGCCGCCGAGAAGAAGCGTCTGTCTGTTGTGTCCATCCCGGGCAGCGAGGACGGCGGCCAGCGGGCCAGTCAGGAGGTCCGCTTCCAGGTGAGAGGTCGCTGCAGATGGATGGGAACACCTGGGGCAGGGTCATCATTTACATGTTGCTGACGGTGCAGTTAATCGTTAGCGCCGCCTGACACCAGGAAACGGGTTCATAGCCATGATGGCCAACAAGCAGAAGAGTTTGACGCGAGCTGTCAGAGATGATTACAGCCGTTCAAACCCGTCGTGTGCAGAAAACAAATTGCCTTCAGAAGTGAAGATTAAACCTCTTTATTTTAAAAGAAAAGCAGAGCAGCAGAGCGGTTCTGGTACGTACGACTGAAAGGCTGAACATCTGGAGCAAGTTCAGAAAAGTATGCCAAAGATCAACCACCGCTTTTACTTCAGTAGCAAACTCAGGACTCTTTTTTTCAAGTTTTGAGAGTGGATACTGAGAATGATTTCTGAGGATTCAAAATACCAAAGACAAGATAGATGAGAAGCTGGCAGGCTGAGATTCAGAGTTATTTATCTGTTGCACTTGAAGAGAAGGTAATTCTTACAGGACAAAATCTGTTATTAGAACCATCAGTTACTGCCGTGTGTGCCGTAGTTTGTGTGTGTCGAAGAGAGAAATGGAAGTGGAAGGCCTGGTCTCAGGTAAAATATACGACAAGAGTGTGTAAAGTCACTTCATTGTCAAATATTTAGAAGTTGTGTCACCTCTCAGTGTTTGCTATGTGTCCACTTGACTCTATACAAAACAATAAAAACAAAGAGTTTAGTTTTGTTGTGTTAGAATACAGACACCAGTAGGAACTCAGTGCAGCAGTAGAGAGTCCAGTTTTATGTTTCAGCTTCAGATCTTTTGTTTATTCGGTGCTTCTATCCACTTTTGTTTCTGATGTCAGATTCAATCCTAAATTTTGAAACATCAAATTTCTGATTTCTGGTTCTTCAGAGACGAGTCCTTTAGCTGCTCTTTGCTGAAGGTCGTTGTGTTGCTCGATCTTTCTCTGTAAAGTACCCCAGAGGTTGGATACCAGTCAGGTGACATACCTGGCCCTATCATAGCTTTCACTTCTGTTTTCTTCAGGAACTCTTTGGGATTTTGCGGTGTGCCTCGAAGCATTTTCATGCTCTGATATTTCTCTTCTGCCGAACGTTTGGACGCTGGGAGTCATCTTGTCAGCCAGTGTTTCTGTATATCCACAGGAATTCAACATGCCTTCCACTATAAATATGTGTGTATATAAATCTGCCCAACGTCATCACACCCCTCCGTGGTGCTCTGTCAGGACTGTTCACGCCACATTCATGCCAAACATGCTGGACCTCATCTGAGCCAAACAAACATGTTTTTGTCTCAGACCTTAATACTCATCAGGATTCTTCAGCTAAATTTCCTCTTGACGTTTAGCAAAGTAGTTGTTTTTTATTGGTGGACACCGTCCATAGAGGTCCATGTCATGCAGTGTCCTTCTTATCGTCACAGAAGCTCCACTTTTCATTGATGTCTCCTTTGCCAATGAGCTGTGACATAAATCCCACCGTGTGTTTGACCTCATTTTAGAAGAACTGTCCTGCGGCACTGATGATGGTTTCTGTTGGATTTTTAGTTTGTCTTGTATCCGTTCACATCTTGTCGGAGTTTCAGAATCAGATGTTTTCATTTTCTCTGGCGGTCCTTCACCATGTGGAGCCATGCAGACACAGCTCATAGGTTCAAATATGAGAAAGTTCTGGTTTTCACAGGTCTGGTTGTAACTGTACAGTCAGACTAACCGGACATCAGATGTTCTCACTTTTGGGTCATTGGTCACTCTTTGCTGCATTACATGTCTACTTTGGTGCCTGCATGTGCAATCCCTAAAGAAGCTGTTTTTGATTGTTCTTAAGAAGAAACTCAACTCAGAAGTGACGTCGTTACTGTGAGGTGATACGGTGGAGTGGTCTCACACAGGACTCTTATGTTGTTGTCTGCATGGATTCCAGGTTTTGCACCGAAGCGCTCAAACTGGTGATTTATCTCGTTTTAATGCATTCATTTCTCTTTCATCAGTTTGCAGCGAGTGGCTGAACAGAGCGCCCTCAGGCATGGATGTGGAAGCACGAGGAAGGAGTGTGTGTGACGCTCATCCACCTCTCTGACTTCTTACCGCTCTTTGTTTGGTTTGAATGAAGGCTATAATTGTATTAAAACATCTGATAGTTTTTATTATTGACGATATAGCAGCTTGGACAGAAAACACTTTCCTCCAAACGGTAATAATGCGTTTTATTTGTGTTTATTCTGCGGTGCACGGTGATCCACCTCCACCACCGGCTTCATGTAAACAAGCTGAGAAACGCTCCCGTCTAGTCAAGACAGTGTTGTAGAAAAAATACATTAAATGTAAGAAAAAGGAGCGCACAATATGACAGTACGGTAATAAAATAAAAGCTGGTGTCAGCCGAGCGTGTCAGGAATGTTAATGCATTTACAAACAGGCAACTTTACAGAATTATAGCTGAATGTGTGTTTTCCAGCTAGTTTCGCTCAGCGTTTGATGAGTGATGTTTTATGGCTCAAACAAGTTTTCTCCCACTTCACAAAGTCATTAACGGTGCCAAGCAAAAGTGCTTTTTAGGTCATGGAAATGGCAGCATGGAAAGTCATTGAAGTCATGAAATTTTACATCAAGGCCAACACTCCCCGCTGGTTTCTTTTCTTTCTCTCTCGCTCTCTCTGCGTTTTCTTTTGGTTTCGTCTCTTTTCCCCCCTTTTGATTAGTCTCCATCTCATCACCTCGCAGAAGCTCATCCATTTGTCTAATGAGTCTGCAGAAAAGCCGGAGCGGGGTTGATCTCTTAAGCAGGATTGGGAGTTTGGAGTGCTGTTTCTTATCTTTGTGTGTTTGTTTGTGTGTCTCTGCAGATCTCTACTGAGGAGTCGTCCTTCAGTCCGACTCGTCCGGTGCCTCAAAAGCCCCTTAAACCTGCTCTGAAGAGACCCTCGGTGGTGGAGAGACCCACCGAGCTCCCCACCAGTAAGAAACACACCACTTACCTGCACCCACAAAAGCAGGCTGCAGAGTTTCCAAACAGCAGACTGATGAGGCAATCAAAACCAAAAAGAACAGGATGTTTAATAGATCCGGAAGGAGTGTGGGTAATGGCCTCTCTGTCTCTAAACTCACATAACACTAATAGCACCTCTTAGTCTCTCTCTTTCTTTATGCCGCTCCCTCTCTCTTCATCTGCTCCTTAGATGATGAAGAAGCGGTTTTAGAACTCACTGACTGCAGTCGTTTTAACTGAAACGCATCCCGACGAAACGCTGACTCTTTGCCTGCTTTTCCACTCTGTCCCCACACAGCACACCTTTTCAGTTAATGAAGTCATAATTCTAACTATAATGCTTAAACAAACAAGAAACTGAACGCACATCATTCAGTATGATACACTGTGTGCAATAAACCTGCGTTCTGTCTAACAGCCAGCAGGGGGCGACTCCTCAACAAGTCCATTTGTACAGAAGTCAATGAGAACATCCCCGACTTCTCACTTGATTGTTTTTACCTCAGGAAACATCTTCCGAATACATTTATGGTTTTAAACGATACAGCATGATGAAAACTTTGCAAATAATGTACTGAGAGCATTGTGTTTTAGAGCAGGGGCTGCCTTGGGATTGACAGGTTGCTACTGGAATAGTCCGACTCACCACCTTTATGTACGTAGCGACTGTAAGCCTGTTATCAGCTGCACGTTTCATGTAGATTTTTCCTCCACTTCTGCTATCGAGATCTTACCATTTTCAGAATCCCCTTCACTCAGGCCAACAACCACCACCAAGCAGCAACCTACCAGATGGAAAAGTTCAGGTTCTGCAGACTGTTAGGATCGTGCAGGAAGGCAGCCCTGCTCGTTTCTTCAGTGAATTATCTGTTTTAATGGCAGAGCTCACGTCCCTGCATGCAGCAGTTCTCCTGTCACTGTTTTCAGGGAACACCAAAGTCGCACCCTTCGCTTCGCTTCCGCTAATATGATTGCGATTAGCTTAAACAAATACAAACAAACCAGAGTGTTTCTTCCCCTGTAGCAGAATGCTAATAAAGACCCCTACTGTATAGGTATTGTCTTCAAAACTCAGACAGATTCACCTCCTGAAAGACCAAGATCACAATGGCCAAATTCCAAACTTGAGGCTTTAGAGTGGTCGTCCACAAACCAATCACCGACATCATGGTGGCTACGTCCTTCCTTTATATACAGTCATCGGTACAGTTTCACCAAAACAGCCTCTAAAAACAGGAGTAAGATTTGGCAGCCGTACCAGCAGCTCTGTCGAGGCTGTAGTGGAGCACAACTACACTTGAAGCTAAACAGAAATGTTAGAATGTTAATGTTAGCTTGTTTCTGAGCATAAAGATGTGTCACGCTAACATCTGTCAGGACTGTCATTAGTTTTGGAAGTATTTGTTCTTAAACCCAACTGCTGGACAGATGAAGGTTTGACGTGATGATGACACCAGAAGGGAAACTCCAACATCACCAAAGTGATGCATTGGCTGATGAGGCTTTTCAAAGATCAGCCTCATGGTTGGAATAAAGGAAAGGTCAGGAGTTCACCAAAGTCTGAGAAACACGAGTACAAAATGCAGAGATGTCTGTTTGGTGATGTTCTCATCAGGACCACAGACCGATGTCGTCGTCATCTCATAAGCTGCTAACATGGCAGAACACAGGAGACATGGTTTGGACTGACCTGCAAAGTGTTTCATAATTATCTGGTTGTTATAAAAAGAAATAATCTGAATGTACAAGAGAGGAAAAGAGAAATATCAAAACAAAAGAAGTCAGTAAAACGTTCAGTACAGTTCCAGGTATTACTGTTTTCTGTCAGACTTTGTTCTGGCCTCAGACTGTGTTGAGTTCTCAGTGTTTCATGTGATGAGGACCATTTAATTGTTTCTATGCTGTTTTCGGTGTTGTCCCGTCGTCCAGTGCTTGTTGGCAGAGCGGACTCAGTCTGTTTCCTCTGGTTTGTTGTGTTCACCCGTCTCAAAGGCCAGGCTCTGAGCAGTCAGTCTGGTTTTTGTCCTTTCAGTGGCTTACATGTTCAAATAATCTGACTTTGGTGTTGTCTGTCAGAGCTGCTCAGCGGTTGATGTGTGTTGTTTTGGGTTCAGATTGTGTGGAGTTGTGTTGCCATCATGCACTGCTGTAGCTTTAGGAGCTAATTAGGCTGTAACCCGCGGCTTCACATGACCTCAGCTTTCAGTCAAGGTTATATTTTTAGACCTTAAAAGGAAAAAGCTTGATTGTTCCTCGTTTTTCTTCTACGCTGACTGGTCGGTGAGAGTCGGCAGCGGTTGTTGGATAGACGTTAATGATTATTTTAATGGCTGATTCATGTGCCAATCATTTTTTTAATTAATCACAAGTCAAGTATTGTTATCGGAGTAAAGTGCCAAAATAGTTGCGTACTGCTTTAAGATCTTTAAAAAGTTTTATTTTTTCTCACCCTCGTTAAACTTGAGTGTTGACCCTGTTCAGTGAGGAATGGATCGTTGGTCGTGTTTCTGTGGATTTAGGAGGTTTTCTTTAGGCCTTTTTCTCATTTCACTAAGTTTTCTGAATGTGTCAGAAAAACCACCGACCATACGAAGCATTTCGTTAAAGAGTCCTAATTATACAGCACACCTCAAGCCAGCGAGGCGTAGCCGGATGGCACCTCGTCCTCGGGAAGCCATCACAGAAACTGTACGGCTCTGCCTTAATGCTGCCAGCAGGCTGTCACTGGCCCCTCGTAATGAAAGACACTCAGCTGGTCCACTGGTGGACTGGACCACCAAAAAGCACTTTAACCAGTCTGTGTGTTTTTAGTCAGGGCCAGTCAGAACTACCTGGACTGTCCCAGCTGCTGAGCCCAACAGCTGTTCTGGCAGAAATCCTGAGTTTGCATGTCACCTACTTTGGGTCCTCGTTTACCCGCTAAAGTGATCGAATGCTTTGGTTTCTATGCCTGATACGGTCGTCCTCAGATGTATTCATAGCCTCCCATTAGAGAATAAAAACATTAGCTGTCATTGAAATAAGCTGAAATTGTCAAAAGTAATAATACTTTTTTTTTTTAATCTAAAAATCATGACATTGTTTTTGAATTGTGGTTCAACAGAAATTTTTTTTTTAAAAAGCAAAATTATGGGACCCGTAAACTAACATGTAGCTGAACAACCCTCTGAGCCAATCACTGCCATCAGGTGTTTCCTGTAGCTCTCAGTCAGACTTCTGCACCTGTTGACAGGTGTTCTGGACCACTGCTCATCAGCAAAGGCCTCTCATTGGTCCACCACAGTTTGTTTGTTTGTTTGTTTGTTTGTTTGTTTTATTTTTAATCATTCTTTTCAACCACAATTCAAATTTATTTCACTAAATTATAATTTAGCACATTTTTATTTATTATTCCTTTTTTCAGTTTCTAGTTATTTCAGTGACTGTTGTGAGTTTTTCCTTTTCTTTAATGGAAGGAGATGAATACATCTGAGGACGGCTGTACATGTGATCGCTATCTAATAATCACCGGGAGCTTTATGTTCGTGTCTCTCTGTGACCGACTGAGCCGCTGAGTGTTGCCACTTCCTGTGAAGTTAACGTTGTGTTTTTATCTGCGACCAACTCACCAAAACCTGGACCGCTATCAGGCAGCCCAAAAAATAATGATCTTGTCCAGATGCAGAAGCCAGAAGCCCGGTTTCCTTACAAGTGTTGAGCTATTTTCAACAGAATTTTGAGAAAATCTGCAAAAATATTAGAAAGTAAACAGCTGGTGAAGCTGAAGTGTCCAGTAAAACTCAAATAGTGAAAAATATTTGATAAAACCTGATGGAAACGTGGTATTTCTGTTTGTTATGCTGGTTCCCTCATGAGTCGGTACAGACCTGTTCTCACCTGCTGCTGTTTTTTATCTCTCAAGACATTCAGTATTTTTGCTTTCATGGATGCTCGACACCATTTTATCAGATGTTTGGTGAGTTTCGGCATTTCCACCGAGGGTTTTTTATTCACCTACTGAACATGAAACACAGGTGGATCAAAACAAGTGTGCAGTGGAGTCGGACTGCTGCTCAGACAGGACGTGTTAGCTGAGGTCTACTAACAGCAGGCGCATAATTAGAGCGTATTTAACACTGGTTTTTATTCTTTGTCTCTCTCGCAGGCCCACAGGATAATTCAGGCATTGCTTTGAAGAACCTGTTCTGCGCCAGTCCAGACACAGAAGGCCTGGAGGTGAGAGAACCATGTCCTCGAATACACCCGACAGCAACACCGCCATCACACACACACACACACATATACACACACACAGTGGCTCACATCCTGTCGTTCACACACCCACACAGTCCTATGCTATCTCTCACATACAGTCCTTCACGCTCTACAGTACAGAACCTCCCACGCCAGCAGTCACACACTTATGCAGAACACACACTAAGTATCTCTGGCAGCCTCACTACAAAACCTCTTTCACTTTGTCTCGGCCTTGCATCCTGTAAAGCTTTAAAGGAGGCGTCTTGGCTCCTGCGCCGCCCTGCTACTGGCCTGTTTCATAGAAATGACTTTTCTGCAGGCATTTCAGTGAAGTTTACTCACGTCAACGTGGCGCTGCAAAGGACGTCTGTTTTGCAACGTCACCGTGACGCTGAGGTTGTTGTTAACGTCTTATGCTTGTCTCTGGTCGCCCCGAAAGAAAAACAACAATGTGGAGAGCCCCGCGTCTCCTGAGCACAGGAGGCCGTCCAAACGGGTCCGGATATCCGTCGTGGTAAGAGCCACCGATCTGGGCTACCCAAATGCCTGGAATCCGCCGGCAACAGGTTCATCAGCCAATCAACCGATTGTCACCCCTCCATCCCATTTCAGGGCTAATCACAAACGCCGATGGACTGTGATCTGGGTCAGGCTCAGCCGAAGCCCGTCCGTGTCATCGTGCCAACAAATGTCGAACGCCCACCTCTTTGTCCGACCTGTAACCCAGACTACTGACCTTTCACTGCCTCTAGATGTTATTGGCTAAGGCTAGGATCCATTCAGCTTAACCAGTTTCCATCGGTCAGTAGAGGTTATAAAGAACACTTGACCACTGAGATACCACTGCAGCCGATTGCCATCAACATATGGTGATCAATTGGGTAAAAAGAGCATCTTTGGGACTTCAAAGACGCGGAAATTCAATTTGCTTCGTCTAATGGTTGGATCAAAAACGAGGATGTAGGAGACAGTATGCACAGTGCTGCTAATGTTTGTCTGGTCTGCGCTGTGGAAGCACAGCCTGCAGTTCAGTCAGATAGTCACAGATTTTCAGCAACATACAACAACTACGTCACAAATGGCTTCATAGTTGTGCTGAAGGATGCACAGTCTGGTGCTGGTGATTGCTTTCTGACAAATAGGATAACATTCCTTCTGAAACCCACCAGAGGGTTCAGAGGGTCAATATGTCGTGTTGTTCTTCATTTAGTAATACTTTGGACTCAGCACAGACTTTTTTTTAGTTGCAGTAAATCAAACTTGGTCCCACCCTGTAGTTATGAAGGTGTTATTTTTTTTTAAAGCTACTTCTGCCTTTAATTTGGTTGTTTTTAAATTCCAAAGAGCTCCGCATACTCCACCAATGTGCCGATACAGAACCAGAATTATGGTCCAGCTATCACGTAACCGTGCCGACACAGTGGCGTAGTGGTCAAGTGTTCTACAAAGAGGAGCGTGTTCAATCAAGCATGCCGTGCTGTCCATCATCAGCTGTGTCACCCGAGGCGTCCAATCAGTGACCGCCTCCCAGAGCGGGCCCCGCCCTGTTCCTGGAGTGACCCACAATCCCTCGCCATTTATTACAACCGATTGCAAACCTGCCCCACCCCGTGTGTTTAACGTCGAGGGGCGGGAGGAGGAGGAGGAGGAGACCCACAATCCCTCGCCATTTATTACAACCGATTGCAAACCTGCCCCACCCCGTGTGTTTAACGTCGAGGGGCGGGAGGAGGAGGAGGAGGAGGAGGAGGAGGAGGAGGTGTGTCGGGGTGAACTCCTCTGTGCATGCAGCGTTAAATATCAGGACAGCAGCAGCATCGTAGCTCTTCATTAGGTTAAGGCAGGCGCTTGAACGACAGCGTTTGAGCTGCAGCTCAGATGAAATGATGATTCATGAGAAGTCCTGGGAAGTATTGGAAAATATGACTCCAAACCGGGATGTAGCCTGCCGTCCAATTACTCCAGCGGTGATGCATGTCAATCAATGGAACAAGCGTCGGACCACGAGCTGAGAGGAATGATTCCACAATCAGCCGACGTTGCATGACAAATGATCAGACCATGTCCGACAGCATCAATTCCTAAAAATCAAACACTGTTGAGCATCACGTAATCATGCAGCCCAACAGAATGCATCCTCGTTCGTCCATTTATGAGCATCAGTGATTTCTTCCTAATTTAGCCGTTCTCACATGAAGCTGTCAGATTGTTTTCCACTCATCACAGACCATGTCCTTTCATTCACTAGGAGCCACCACCCAGCCTAAAGAGTTTCTCTGGGGTGAGCATGTCGTCCACATTTCTTAGAAACTCTTTTCTTCTCTCTCTGTTTCAGTCCAGTGTTGAGTCGCGATGGCAGATGTTCGTTTTTAATTCGAAACTTGTTCACAAACGCTCACAGTGGTCGTCCAGAAATCACAGAAACGGTGTTATAGACGAGCTAACTGTAGCGAGCTGAGCAGACACTTCCACAGTTACAGTACGTTAATTAAAGCTTCACTGAGGAAAGATGGAGCTACACCAGCAAAAGTAGTTCACGTCATCAGAGGTGTTCTGTTTATTTATTTTTAAATTTAGCTTTATTCTTTTATGACACAAACATATAGCAAGCTCATATGTGGCTGTTGACGAGCTGCTAGCTGGTGTTTTCAGACTGCAGGAAGGATTTGTACCATGTTTATATAAAAGATGGGTGTAGCCGCTAAAACGTAAAGTCAGTGCTGAAGTGATTTAAACATGCATTCTTCCTACCGTCCAGCAGGAGGCGACTCCTCTGGTGAAGTTGGCTTGTATAGAACTCTATGACAAAACAATCCCACTTCTCATTTGGTTTATTACCGCAGTAAACATTTTCCTAATGAGCTGTTTGTCTCAATCACTACTTTCAGGTTTCCTTTAATGCGACGTGAAGCTCATTTAGTAACTTATGGCCACATTTAGACTAAAACAGATGATAAAGAAGAGACGTTTCAGGGCTACCTTGTGATAGAGCTCACGACCATATCACCTTGCCTTGTGTCCTCAAGTTCTCACTCAGAATCACGTCTCGCTCGTCATGTCCAGGTACAGAAGTCCAATCTCTGAACTTCAGAACAGCAGTCCACCGGGTGATGTCATCGTGGCTACATCAGTCCAGCAAATCAGTGAATGATCCGTATAGTCACACAGAAGAGCTTCTGTCTGAGACACATACTGTAGTTTTCAGACTATTGAGGCACCTGAATATAAGCCCCGCCCACTGGCTTTAAAAAGAAACCAGGTGTGTTCATATCCAGGCTGCAGGTGTCCACGTTGGAACATGAGATATTTACACAGAAAAATGTTTGAACCTTTAATTAAATGCGTAGCGGTAACATCCACAGATACGTACCGTAGAGGCTTTTTTCTGAACACTTCCTGTAACACGGCTGGTTAAGGAAATAAAACTCCAGCAGCTACCAGGAAAAGTCACTGATGGCTATCTTCATCTTCCTCCTGCACTAAAACCACTAAAGTCGTCTTCTTCAGTGTCTTCAGGAGCTGAACAGCCTCAGAATCACTTCATCACTTCCTCAGTCTCTCTGTCGTCGTCGCTCTCAGCCTCACTTTGGTCTCCAGGTGAATTCATACAAATCATCGTTGTTTAAGCCGCAGCGTTCAAAGCGTGTGAAAGAAGCAGCAGCATATGGTGGTGCCATCACATGTTTGTCCTGAAGACTTCTTCCCCTGCGTTGAATCCAGTCGGAGCCTTCAGGGCTGTGTGCTGGTTGGTCGGGGCTGTTTTTATGCCTCTATGTCGAGTTTCTTTGTGCACTTCCAATAGTGGTGACCCAAAGGCCATGGGTCGTGTTGGCGCTGGAGACAGACGACCTGTACTATTACAGAACATACAACAACGTAGTCAGAACTGTGCTATGATTAGAAACCGGGCTGTACCGGCACAGCGCTGGCTACTGACTTCATGAGCAAAGCAGATAGAACACAGCCGAATACGTTTCACATTTAGTTTCACAGAAGTGTTATCTTTGCACTAATTAGAATGCTTTTTTCTTCTTTACACCATATTAGCGACCATCAGGTAAACCAGGTAAACCAGTCACAGGTGTTCAGTGTCCAGCCGCAGTGTGGATTCAACACAGACGTATAAATCGAGCTTCATCTCAGACGATACTGAAAGCTGTCAGTTTGACAAGTGGAAACGTAGAGCATGTGTCACAGCTTCTGAATTATAATTTGATTTATTAATAAGTTGACTTCATTTGTTTATGATAGTTTAGCCCACTTTTTTAAACATGATGCACACAAATTAGCAGAAACCAGATAATTCAAAAGCTACAGCACAGTGCGGTCGGTGACCCGGTAGGTTTAGTCACCAGATCTACGTATAGAAGACGAGATCACACGATTCCTCCTTCAGATCCTCAGATTATTGTGTTAGTGTAACTCTATTAGCACAATTAATGATTTAGACTTGAGGCACTGAAAGGGCTCCATTAGTTTCACATGTCAGTGATAATTATAGAAGTCTGTACACATTCTCAATCATTCAGAAGCACAGAGCAGCGTCGTATCGTTTGTCATCCGTAGCTTCAGGGCCCGCGTGTTAGCGCATGGTATACAGCTGATAAATTACACTGTGAGCAATTTTGTTGATAAGTCAGGAAGAAACCCCGACAGCAGCGTGTGTTTAAATCATGCGCTGTTGCCATCAAATTTGTCCAATGGCCCTCAAAGGGCTTTCAACCCAAGCACCGTATCCAGTGGGAATTTTTTAATATCCGGTTCTGTTCTGATATTACTTCTGTCAGCGATGAAATACCACGAAAAACAGTCCCAGAATCCAACACTGTGGTTCCTCAACACAGTCCGCGCTGCACAATTACACGGCAGAAGTCAGACTCGCCTCGAGGAACTTTACGAAAAGTACAAAATTAGCAACAGAGGAGGCGCGCTGGGAGTGTTTTTTCACTCGGTGGCGTAGAATGTGAAGCCCGAGGCGT